TCTCTCTCTCTCTCTCTTCTAATTATAGTCGATATAAGCGTTAAAAACAGTTACCATAAGAATAACACACAAACATTTCACATCTTAAGTGAAATTAAATTATAAATAAGTGGAGACTTATATTAAGCGAAAGAGAAATTTATAATTAGAAACTTGTATTATAGGAGAGAGAAATGTATGAGTTTTTTGTAGGTCAGTGTCGGTACACATAAATTGTTTAGAAATTGATTAAATGAATTGACTTCAAAAGTGATCCCAATCCACACTTTCGCTTCTTTTAGACCTCATTCACGTATTGAGTGGCGGAACGAGTCTTACGATTATTATTAACAACTTTAACCACAAAATGATACCAAACTCTCGATTTTTAATCATATCATACAATATATCAGTAATTCCTAAAAATAAATCTCATTTAATATCTGAGAAAAAATGCAAAACAGCGTAATTGACGGCAAAGATGTGAGAAATTAGTACAAAATATAGAGTTCGTTGGGAATTACAGAACCTTTTAAAATAGTTTTTTGTGTTGTTTTTTATTGGGAGAGAAAAAGTGAAATGAGGAACGACTGGAGGAAAGGTCCGCCACTTTCTATTATTATTAATATTGAGCGATATTTTAAGCCCAGAGTTTCGTTTTTAGCTCCGATACCAGAAATGCAAGTTTCATAAAAAGCAAAAGGATTTCAAGAATAGTGTCTTATTTTGGTCTGAATTTCAAATTTAGTTTTGTTTCGCTTCGCAAAACAGTTTAGTTGTGTTTTATAAGAAAAATATCACTCATTCTTACGATTCAGACATTAATTATTTGAGTGAATTTATCGGTCGGAGTCGACGGCAAAGACATGTTTCACAGACTATTACTACTCTCTATAATTGGTTTTGTGACCGCAATGTCCACCAAAGATAAGTGCGATCTCAAGAAAGTGGATCGTTGTGCACAAATACTATACATTTACGGCAATCCCGACTATAAGGTGTCCAATAATATCAACGAAGCGCACAGATTCTGCAAGTAAGTCATCCCATGTTATAACATACCTTTTCCTCACTTTCCCTTAAAATTTTAATATATTTTATCTCTTTTTAAAAATTAAATTTGAATACATATAAACAGAGTTTACAATAATTATTACAGTTAAATATTTGTTCTCTATTCAATAGTTTATAGAAAACTTTTCTTAGAAAAATAATCTTAATGATATTTATCAAAATGTACCAAGAATATTAAAAATTAATATGGATAACTGATCGCACAGTGATTAATAGTTTTTAAAGAATTTATTTTTATATCACAAATCATTGTTTGTCTCATAAATACAACGATTTGCGATAAAGTCAGTCATTTGTCGTATGAGTTAAAATATTAACGTATACTTTGTCTACATTTTCTCTCTGATAACAAATTTTAAAAATTTAAACTCAAAGCTCGACAAAAGAGGCTGAGATGTGTATCAGGACTTATAATAACGCGTGTGTGAAGCCATTCTCGCGTCAATACATCAATCTATTGTTGGCCGGACCCACACAACAGCTCAAGAAGCGATGCAATCACTCAGGAATCAAAAGTAAGTGTAATTCATGTCTCTATAAATGTCATCATTAAGAGAGAAGAGTCGATAGAAAAGGAATAGGAATTTATAAACAATTTATGACTTTTTGTATTTATCTTTTATCACAATATAAAGAGTATTTGGAGCACAGAGTGTGTGTGAATGCAACCAAAAGTGCCATCGATTTGTGTAATAACGGCGCGATTGCAGACACTATGAGAATATTGATGGCCCGCAAAGAGGATTGGATTCAATTGAGCTGTTGGTGAGTATAGGGAGGCGTTAAATATTGTTTTGTTTTTTTGCATTAGATTTATAGGACATGTGAATAATTAGCATCAAATCATAATTAAACAGTTTTCTGAGTAAAAGCACTCAATGCTCGACGAAAGCCATAGACAGTGAAGAACTTTGCGACGAAAGGTCTAAGGAATACATGAGAGAAGCGATTCGTGGCTTTTCTGGCGAAGTGTTTGATCTGTTTTGCGGTAATGACTTACACTGGGAGTCGAATAACTGTCAAAAAGTGACCAAAAATTTACCCCAAATTGAAAGTAAAACCAAAAAGCCTTTAAGTGTTTTCCCGGTTGTGTTAGAAATGATGGAAAGGTTTTAATTAAACACTTGTGTATATTTTGTACATTTAAAATCCCGTTTCATTTTTCTATATAATTCATATAATATTTTTTATGTAAATATTTTTAAACCCCATTTTAGAAGATAATGTAATAAATTTAAAGTTAGTTTTTAATAAAAATATTTCTAATTCCTTAATTCACTATTTCTTTTTCATTCAACGATTAAATAAATTTTGCGAAAATATTTATAACTTTTTAAATGAGTTACAAAAATGATCCACATTTGAGTGTTTGCGGCGACTCTTGGGGTCCGATAAATGTTATCTAAAATCTGTTTTTAGTCGACTTCAAGAACAATAACCTTTTGCCGCAAATAACTGCACAAAAATAATATTTGCTCTC